AGCAGCCGTCCTTAGCACGTGAAGATGTCCTCAGGGCTGGGTAGATGCGAAAGCCCGCGCTGGTCCAAGACATGGTGGCTCCCATGAGTGTATTTTGGAAACATAATATTACGATCTGCTGTTCGCTTGCGTGTGTTAACAATTATCCCAGGCGGTCGACGCATATCACTGATTATGTGTTGTAGCTCCATACCTTCATGATGTGGGTTGGTCTCGGTTTTCGTGGTCTGGGTCTGGGTGGTCGCGGCGATCTCGAGAAAACGTCGATGACCATCGGAAAGAACGTCACATCATGCTTAGAATAGTAGGCAACCGTGGGGCACGTCAACAAGTGGCCTCGATACCAACTGCAGCCTGCCACTATCGCAAGCCTCGCCGCACGTCTCCAAGCCCGTTTGCCACCCATGAGCCCTGATTCCAGCCTGCGCTTGTCGTCGTGGGACGCCTGCACGCCGTCCTCGAAGTCGGGCAGCCTCCGAACGCTCACCTCGCTGGCTTCGTAGCGACTCTCAGCGCCCCGCTGTGCCACAGGCATCGCACATGGCGGAACTGGCGGGGCGCGCGCGGGGCGCAGCCAGGGGAGGACTTGCGACCCCCCTCCCTGTTGGAAGCAAACGGATCTTTTGAGCCGCCGAGGTTTCCGCCACCTTCCGCTGGCTTCCGCTGTCGGGGGCGGCCATATTTTCCTGCCGTCGACTTTCTGCCGCCCTTCAGCCGCCTTCCGCCGAGGAAGAGATGACAATTCCTTCGATCCTCGAAGGCAAGGCCACTCTTGGAATTCCTGAAATGGGTGCGGACAGACAGGGCGGGATGCCCAGCAGCAAATGCATCCCAAAACCGACTGTGGCCGTTGTTGGGCAGGCAACCCTGTGCCTCGAATGGACAGCGCCCGCGGCGACGCCAACAGCGAGCCCTGCTCAAGATGGCCAGGAATTCATTGCCGATGTTCGTCACCTTCCTCTCCGTGCCCATGCCTGAGGGAACGAGAAGGCACTGCTGCCGCCTCTCCCCAGACCTCTCCTGGAGTGCTTTGTGACCGCCGAGATTTCGAAGCGAATCCAGACGTAGCGGTATCGGTATGTTTCCTTCCTCCAAATTTCGACCGTAGCCCCGAGACGCCCCGGGGCAAACGAACCTTCTCCACGACCACGTCGGGGATGCCGGCCTTGAAGCGGACCTGGCCGCGGGGGGAAAGTACGCGCACGCGACGAAGCAGAGGCGGGAGCAAACTCCCGGCCCCGCGCCGCAGTGGACGCAGACGTCCGGCGTCTTGGCAAGAACATGATGCAGACAAGACATTGATGCGACCCGCATTCCGGTCCCGATCGGGCGGCCCTCGCAGAGGGCAGGGGTAGGCCTCGCGCGGCAGCTTGAGATCCAAACCACGTCGGGTCCACGTCGGACACACGTCGGAATTGCGTAGCACCCACGTCGGAGGTACGTCGGACTCGCGTCGGAGCATCGCCGCGAGGCGTCGACCCAGATCGGCCGGGGTGGGCGTGTGGACTGGCTGGTACGACTATTGCGCGCCGCGCGAGGCCTCCGGGATTACCCGTTCGTCGGGAGCAGTAGGCAGAAACATGGAGTAGGAAGGCGTTGAAAGCAAATTGGGTTCCGTCCACCCCCTAGGAGGGAGGACGGTTAAGGTGAAGCCACTCGATGATTGAAGCAGGAAGTAGATTGGAATATGGGAATACAGAAATACCTACTTAACGACCGATGGGTATCCTGACAAAGAAATTTAGAGGGCCACATAAACACACAAATAAATACACACAAATCCCAGGATTACCAATAGTTTGATACATCTTCTGGGCTTCTGTCTTCAGGGCTGAACCTAAACGGTGTTTTTCGTTTTCGTTTGTTTTCGTTTCCTCTCGTTCTGTCTTCGATCAGCCTTCAGCGCAAAACGACATCGAAACGAAAACGGCCCACGAGATCGCCAGAGCACCGTCTTGGTCCACCCCCGTCTGTTCTCCCCGCCCACTTCCCATGTGTGCGCACATCTTCCTGGGAATCGACCTTTGGAGAGGAGGAGGAGGAGGAGGAGGAGGAGGAGGAGGAGGAGGAGGAGGAGGAGGGGGAGGAGGGGGAGAGGTGCCTGTGTGTGTCTTTTCCTCCCCGAGCGCCGTCCCGGCCCAGGGGGTGCCCCCCGCTTTTCTCGAGGCCCTCCTGGAGCTCTCCCGAGGGCGCTGCGGACCTCGTGGCAAAGGGACGCTCCTGCGGCCGCAGGGGGGCTCCCCGGGAGGCCTGGGGGCGCCCTGGGCCAAGTCGGGCGCGTTCCCCTGGGATTCTCGACGAGAAGCAAAAGATACTGACAAAATACCCCGAAATGATCAAACAAATGCTCAAAGAAATAATCTCTGTACTATGCTTTGACTCTTTTTGGTATATTCCTCCTGTAGAGGGACGGGCCCGACTCAAACCTTGGGCCAGGGCCGTTTCTGGGGCAACGACTGGTGAGCGTTTTCTGATCCAGCGTTTCGACATTGGGCGCAAGGGGGGGGGGCAGGAGGGGGGGGGGTCTGGCTCCGAACCTCTGCCTAGTGCGACTGTTTGGAACAGTGCGTCCTATGAAGGAGACTCCACCTGCTCGAAACAGGCGCCCAAAAACAGCGCCAAGATCTACGCCATGAGGGGAGCGGGGGAGGGGGGGGGGCGAGGGCCCGTGCCGATCGGCAAAATAATGAATAAGAAAACGATCAGCTGGAAACAAAACCGTGTTTGTTCGCCGTCTTCTCGGCCTCTGGCTGCTTTTGTCGGGCCGTCGAAAGACTGCCCGCGAGGGAAAGCCAGCCCCAGGAAGAGATGGCGACATCTGAACCCTACCCTCACCAACCATCGATTCTCCTGAATCGATGGGAGGCGGGGGTCAGGATTCGGAGTTCGCCACGTCTTCGACGAATTTCGAGGCCTACACCCCCGCCGCCCATCGGATTTCGCCGCCGATTTGTGTGTCTGGACATCGGGTGTTTGGGGCACAGGTCTGGACATCGGGTGCCTGGGAGAGGGCCTGGTGCACCCAAGTTTGCGACTGGCATCAACCCTCTGCCAGCGGGGCTGGAAGCGACAAAGGACTGCATGAGTAGACACTTTCGGAGGTCCAAGCAAATGTCCTGGAGCTGTCTTTCTCCCGGTCCCGGGGACTGGCGAGGGCCCCCAGAGGACGACATTGGCAAGAGCCTCCCGTGGTGATTTTGTCACCACGAGGGGACGTCGGGGAGCGGCAGCAGGTAAGCGTTGCTTGGATTCTGGGCCTCGATATTCGGCCGAAGGGTGGGGGAGCGGGGGGGTCCTCCTCCTCCTCCTCCTCCTCCTCCTCCTCCTCTCCTCTCCTCCCTCCTCCTCCTCCTCCTCCTCCTCCTCCTCCTCCTCCTCCTCCTCCTCCTCCTCCTCCTCCTCCTCCTCCTCCTCCTCCTCCTCCTCCTCCTCCTGGGGGGGCCTGGGGTCTGGGCTGGTATACTTCGTCGATCTGCCTTCACGAACCGCGCAAGCAGACTCGGGGGGGGTCCTGGCCAGCTGCCACAAAAGAGCACCCGCCCACAGCTGCCGCCGACATCCACTCTACGGGGGGGGGGGGGCAGGGGGGGGAGAAGGGGGCCCGCGCCGATCGCCGGAGCACGGCACAAAAAAAACAGCCACTAGCGAAGACGACACAAATAGCGAAACAAACTCTATACACCCTCGGCTGCTGCTACCTCTACACGGTGCCGAGAGAAGCATCACTTGCCGGAGTATTTGTTCAAGGTCCGCGTGAAGAATGGCAGTGATGACGAACAGCAGCGTTTATAGCACGATGGATGCCGTGGTGCATTATCGTATTGCCGCACCTCGCAGCGGGAGAGGTGGTCGGCGTTCTGACCCGCAAACCCAGGCAGCTGGTGAGAAGCGTCTTTACTGCAGGGCCCCACGACATGTGGCTCTACAGGGGGACAGCACTGCGTCTCGCCGACCTCGGATTCGTCATCGACACCGGGCCTGTCGGCAGCGAGTTATCCAAAGTGATGTGAACCTCGCGACCCTAAATATGCAAGGCTGGCAATGGACATCTCTTCAGGCACGTCATTTGGACAAGATTGTAGAGGTGATCGACTTGGCCCGAATTCACTCTTGGGATGTTGTTGCTTTGACGGACCTCCACAATGAGGACAGGGACATCCAGGTACGGACTGCGGATTGCCACACGTCTCCGTGGGTGACTGCACGGAACACTTCGGCCGCGGTTGTGGCAGTGGAGGAGTTCATCGTTGTCATGGCGGCGCGTGTGGCTTTCCTTCTTTCTCCTCCGCTCTTCCAGCTATGGCAAGAACAAGGCCGGCGAACGGCTCGATCGCCCAGCGGACGCTTACTCGGCATCACCGTGGATTTCAAGAACACCTCGTACTTTTACGTTTCTGGCTACGCTCCGACCGGAGACCCGGTCGCGAGGCGGACTTTCTTCGAGGAGTGCGAGGCCTTCCGTGCGAGCCAGCGGGAGGAGGTGGTGCAGATTTGGGCTGGAGATTGGAACAGCCATGTTGGTCGTGATAGTCATTCTTCGTATCCTAGCATTGTTGGCCGCTGCGGCCTCTCCACACCTACGACAGCCAGCGGCATTCAACTTCTCAAGAGGTTGGGCCACGGTGCGCTTCTAGCAGATAGCAGATCTACCTGTTCCTATTGGTTCTCGCGGCACCTGGCGGTTGCCTAAGAACCAGATCAACAGAGAGGCCGTTCATCATTGGTACGAGCTAGACCTTTTCATCGTCACTCACGGCCGCTTGAAGTGGTTCCACAAATTTCGAACCTTTGCTTGCTTCAGTGACCACCACGGGAAGATTTGCTGCCAGCGCCTCCCACACTCGCGCACCACTCAACAGTGGCGTCGGGAAGCGCTGGATCGGCGAGGCCCGGCTCCCCAGAAGCCTTTGCGTGCGGACGTCCTCCGAGGAAAGTCTGCGGAAGCGCTGGAGCTGCAGCGATAATACCACGAGCGCACCAGCACCGCAGCGCTGGCGCTGATGCAGGCCCGCGGCGTCCCAATTGACCCGCCAGAGGACGGAGACGTCTCGCAGGAGGCTGGAGCCCAGGGCCGGCAGATGGCCGCCGTGGCTCGCCGCTTACGCGGGAAGCAGCCGCGCCCTGCCCGGCCACCCGAGCCGTCGGACGAAGTGACTGGCACACGCACTCCGCCTCCTCGTGTGGACTGGACAGAGATCGCCAAGATTTGCGCAGACGAGCTCGAAGCGGTGGCCGGCCGCGGACGGCAGCTGCAGGGCAGGCCCTTTCTTGACGGCCACGCCACGGAGGTGCGAGAAGGCAAAGCACGCCTTCGTGCCCTGGCCGAGGCTCGCCAACGCGCGATGGGCACTCCGGCTGAGCAGAGCTGCCGCGAGGAGCTGCGCACGGTCACACAGTCTTTCCGCCGTGACCGTCGGCGATGGCGCCGGGCCTGGGTGTCCAGCGTGGTGACGGAGCTCAATCACTCCATGGCCGTCGGTGATCTTCACAGGTTTTACCAAGGTCTACGAGAATTGGGAGTGACAATGGATTCGGTGTCCCACGCGGGGAAAACGCTGCATACCCCAGAGGAGCTGCGCACCCATTTCATGAAGATTGGGGAGGCCGAGTCGGTCGTCAGCGAAGCTGTCCTTGCACGCCTGCCGCCGGATTATCCTACGCGTCACTCACTCGCCGATCAGCCGTCGAAGCAGAAAATTCGACGTGTCTGGGCAAAGATGCGGGAGAGTGCGGCGGGACCAGATGAAGTCACCATCAACATGCTGCGAAAATCTGGCCCGCACCTTCAGACTCTTCTCTTCAATGAGGTACAGCTCATGTGGGGCAACCCGACAGATTGGGCTTCCTCTGCGCACCAAGCCACAGTTATTGCACTCTTTAAGAAAGGAGATCGAGCCAGACTAGATAACTATCGGGGCATATCTCTTTTATCTATCGTCAGCAGAATTGTCGCACGCATCATTGCATGTCGCCTGCGAGACTACGCCGAGGAGCTGTGCTTATTCAGGGTGGACCAAAGGGGCTTCAGGAGCGGCCGCTCCACAAGAGACGCTATTCTGCTTGCACGGCTCCTGCTTGACTCTGCTGTCAAGATCCGGCACCAGGACGACTATGACCACATCGTTTTCGCCCTCCTCGACATCAAGAAAACGTACCCCTCTGTGCCCCGGAACGGGGTCTGGCGGGTCTTATCTCACTACGGTGTACCGCCGCTCGTGGTTCAACTGCTCGAACATCTTTACAGTGATACAGTCTATCGGTGCCGGAATGCCACCGGCATCAGTGATGAGTATCAGTTGTATCGTGGCCTCCGGGAAGGTTGCCCCTCCAGCTGCACGGTGTATCTCTTATATCACAACGCTGTCCTTCAAGACTACTGCAGGGTGGTGGACGCAGAAGATTCGGGCCCCACTGTCAAATTTGCTACGAGACTGGGTGCACAGGGCCAGAATGGGGAGCCGGTGAGCCTCGAGAACACGGGGGCTGCACAGTTTCGGCGTATCGGGGATCAGTGGCGCGAGCAGCTTGCTCGCCTTGCGTGCTTTGCGGACGACACTACCTTGATAGAGCGCGAATCGACGATCCAGAAGCGACGCTTACTGGTGACCCGGGTTCTGGCAGACTGGAAAGAAAAGGTGCATCCAGGCAAGTGGCAATTACTCCGAGCCCGACATCGAGACGAGACAACACCCTCGGTAACCCTGGAGGGCCATGCGGGCCGCCGATTGCGTGTGAAGCAACCGGCCGAAAAATGGCATGAGTTTGTGGAGCTGCTGGGGTCCTTCCTGCAGTGCGACGGCAACACGGAGATGGACACCACGAAGCGCCTTGCAGCGGCGCGGAAGCTATGGTATAAGATCAACCGCCAACTGCCCAGGCTCGGCCTGGAGCCGCGGGACAAGTGGCGAGTGGTGGAGGCGACAGTGGAGGCGACTCTGTTGTACGCTAAGGAGACACGACCGGTGGCATCGAGGGACATGGCGATGTATCAGAGCCTGATGAACCGTGTGCTCCGGGGGGTCACTCTCTCTGAGAAGTACCGGATCCGCGACATGAAGGGCAAGGAGACTATGGCCGATCTCCGCGCCAAGGTTGGCGCCGTGACGGTGGAAACAGCGATCGGCAAGCGGAAGTTGGGATATCTTGGCCATCTCGCTAGATACGACAATGACAGGCTTGAGAAGTGCTTGGCGTTCGGGGAGCTCTGCGTGGAAGGCCCCATGGACAAGGCCGTCGGCGGCAACCACATGTCGTGGCGACGGCAGTGCAATGAATTGTTGGCTCAGCTGATGCGCGTGGCTCCTTCAGACTGGCAGGAGCGCCATTGGACCGAGCTGGCTCAGGACAAGGCGGTCTGGGCGTCCAGTGTACGCGCCTGGGTCAAGGCCTCTCGAGCCGCAGACACCCTGGATCAGCATCGGTGGAGGCACGCTGCCGAGCAGGACCGACTGGCGCAGCGACAGACCATCATGTCCGTCTTACACGGGGACGAATGGAGACGCCGAGCTCGCCACACATGCCCCAATCAAGCTGACGACGTCGCTCACGAGGATGCACAGGCGCCCCCGGCGTCGAGGCGGCGGCAGGTATCGGACCACATGCTCGAGAAGATCACGTGTGCCGGCTGCGGCGTGACCATTCAACGACGAACAATGGATCACCATGTACGGTTTGCATGCCCCGCTCGGCGGCAGCAGGGCCTGGCGCCCCAGGCGCGTGCCAAGGCGCGCGCCAAGCCCAAGGCGCAGGCGAAGGCACAACCATTGGTCGGTGCAGGTGCTGATGATGATAAAGGTGTTCCTCCTCCTCCTCCTCCTCCTCCTCCTCCTCCTCCTCCTCCTCCTCCTCCTCCTCCTCCTCCTCCTCCTCCTCCTCTTCCTCGTGTCAATCAATTGGATGTTGTGGATATTTTGTGCGGAGGGGGCCCTGGCCAGGACGTTCAGCGTCGTGCCGGAGACCGCTGACATCCAAAAGAGAGCACATGTCGCTGGTGCCACAAGACAGCGGCGCAGCTTTGTCTCAAGAGTGTAGTATCCCATCAGCAAGCGTGTGATCGCATGCCATATGACATCTTCCAGGCTTCCCAGGTCCGCTTGCTCATTGGAGGCAAGAAGAAGGATAATCCAGCAGATGTGGCTTCATGGCGTGTGCAGTGCACACATTGTTCTATGCCATTTCCCAGTACATTGTCTCTTCGCGTACATGTCAGTGGTTGTATTCGACGTCGCCAGGCACTCGGCCTGCCTCTCGGAGGACATCCCGGCATGCTCACGGAGGGTCAGAGTGCCGATCGCGTGCGCATGTACCATGCACGTATCGCAGCTGCTCCCAGGCTCGCTGGCATCGGCTCCCCTCCCGCAGCCTCTGCCTAGAATCCGTGATGGACGCTGTGCTGCAGGCCGCTGCCAGCGCCGCGCCTGCGGCGGCGGCGGGCGGCGCCCAGGGCGCGAAGCCACAGGGCAAGGAGAAGGGCAAGGGCCAGGGCGGCATGACGAGGCTCATCGGGCGCATGGTGCTGTCGCACGAGAGGCAGATCGCGGAGCTCGCCGACAGGAGCACCGTGGCGCTGCTGCTCGAGACGGGGGGGCTGAAGGCCGCCATCGCGGGGGAGCGTGCGAAGTGGCAGGAGGCGTACGCGGCGGTGGACAAGAAAGGCCCGCATCCGTGCGGACACTCGCAGCGGGTTGTGGTGTGGGCCCGGTTCATTCGGACCCTGATCGACAGCGCCACGGAGACCACGAAAGCGGACAAGGCAGCGATGGACGCGATGGAGTACCGGAGCAAGCTGGACCCGGCCGTGGTGGCGAAGAGCGTCTTCAGGCTCAAGCCGAAGCACAAGACCTACCTGGAGGAGGATGGTCGTGCGTGGGTGTGGTTTTTGGTCATCGGGGTCGCGGCCCCCGTTGCCTTCCGGGACACGATCTACGAGCTGACGCGTTTCGAGGTGAAGTACGACGGGCTCAGCGTCAGGCAGGGCAAGACGCAGGACGGCCCCTTGGCGAAGGAGCTGGCGGCGTGGCTCAAGGGCACGAAGGGCGGAAACCTGATGGACGCCGAGGACGACGACTACGTGGACGGAGGCCGACCGAAGAGGGGCCGGCACGGCCAGCGCCGGTGAGCGCAGTGCTGCCTGACCCCGGCCAGTGAGCGCCGGTGAGCGCCAGCGCCGGCCAGTCCCCCGCGCCGCATCCGTCGGAGCCCCGGGGCTCGCGGCGCGGGGACGGCCACCCCGGGGGCGCGGTCCGCCGTGGCGGACACGAGGGTGGCCGCTGCAGGCGAGTACGCTTCGACGACGGCGTCTGCATCGAGATGTTCTTCACCATCTTCTTCTTCATCGTCGATCTGCTCCTCACCTCACCTACTTTTTCGGCACCTTCCCCAGCGACCTGTGGGGCTGTGGCAGAGCCGGAGCTATTTCTCTTTTCGCGGCGGAGATCGTGTGCGCTGTCGCCATGTTCCTCTCCCTCGGCCTCGCCGTGTTCTCCATCCTTGTCCTCTGGTACGACATATGCGTGTATTCATGGGGGCAGGCGGGCTATGTCACTATCGTTATTTACTTTCTCGTCCGTCCCCTTCTACATTACGAGCGCCAGCATCACACTTTCTTGACACCGAAATTCGTGACATTTTCGTTGCGGCTTGACCTGGTGATAAGGATATTGGTTCCGAATCTCTTGGGATGGAGGCGGCGGCTCTGGGTATAGGTGGTCTCTTCTTCCACTACAGGGCCGTGCTCCATCTCCTCTTCTTGGGTACTTGCGGGTATTCAGCTGTGGGGGCAGGCGCGCTGTGCTATCTGAATGGGACGGGGGACCCCTTGTACACGACCACTGCAAAAGGCAGATGCCGCCACACACTCTATGTTTACATCTTCGTGTGCGTCTCACTCTATTACTCCCTGGGCGAGTGTGCTGTCGCCATGATCCTCTCCCTCGGCCTCGCCGTGTTCTCCATCCTTGTCTTCTGGTACGACATATGCGTGTATTTTGCTATGGGGGCAGGCGGGCTATGTCAGTATCGTTATTTACTTTCTATTCCGTCCCCTTCTACATTACGAGCGCCAGCATCACACTTTCTTGACACCGAAATTCGTGACATTTTCGTTGCGGTTTGACCTGGTGATACGGATATTGGTTCCGAATCTCTTGGGATGGAGGCGGCGGCTCTGGGTATAGGTGGTCTCTTCTTCCACTACAGGGCCGTGCTCCGTCTCCTCTTCTTGGGCACTTGCGGGTATTCAGCTGTGGGGGCAGGCGCGCTGTGCTATCTGAATGGGACGGGGGACCCCTTGTACACGACCACTGCAAAAGGCAGATGCCGCCACACACTCTATTTCTACATCTTCGTGCGCGTCTCATTCTATTACTCCCTGGGCGAGTGTGTACTCCGAGCTGTGGGGGCCGGTGTGCTATTTTGTCGTACTCGCTCCTGAACCCCTTCTGCATCGCAATCTTCGCGGAGATGCTGTGGGAGTACGCGTGCTACCCCTATTTGCGCATCCTCTGGGTATGCAGGCTATCTTTGACATTTGTGTATGCAGCTTGCTCCGGCAGCAGGTGTGCTATGCTATCTTCGTTTTCCCCAACCCCTTCTTTATCCAAATCTTCTCGGTGATGGTGCTGCCGTACGTTCACCGCGCCCTGCCTGGGCAAAGATCGGCCGAGGTATCGGCCCCAAGGATCTTCCGCAAACTCTATACACCGACGCTTTTTACGACCCTGCGCTGAAATTCGCATAGGAACGCGGATCCTGGTGTATACGGGATCCTGGTGTATACATGTTCCGTTGTTTCCCTTGAAAAACGGTGGAAAAGGATACACCACACCACCCCGACGTCGTCCCCGACCCTCGAAAAGTCGTGGAATTGAAAACCAAAAACAAAAAAACAAAAAAACAAAAAACAAAAAAACAAACAAAAAAAAACGCCACTGGTAATGTGTATGTCCCAGCTTCCGAGCACAAAAAAACGCCACCGGCAGAGACGGAGAGAACCTGCACCCTCTGCTTCTCGCCCGCGCGGAGCACGCCGGACGGCGGGTGCACGTCGACCTCGGCCGACGGGCGCAGTCCGGGGGCCCAGGGGGAAGAGGAATGGGGCGGCAGCGGCGCCGGCTCCGTGGCGGCCGCGCTTCCCGGGCAGGGCCTCGCCTCCCCTGGCCCGCCGAGAGGTCGCAGGCCCAGAGATTGACACCAGCACCAATCTCGGCGTTGTGCCTCCACCGAGGGAAGAAAGGTCCCGATCTCGGTGATGGTGGTGATATTCTGGCTTCCAAGGTGGCCGAACTATTACCACCAACACCGAAAATCTAGGATCACCTTCCGCCTGTGGAGGCAGCCCCCTGTCTTGGTGTTGGTGCCAATTTCCAGGCCTCCCTGGCCCGCCGAGAGACCCCCCCTCGCCCCAGCCGAGGAGAAAGGCAGACGAGGAGAAGAGCATCACGAGGGAGATTTAAGAGGCAACTGAGTACTGGGAGGTCCTCGTCGGAAAGATGAGAGAGAACGAAGCCCCAATGGGGGGCTGTTCCGCCGGAGTGGACCTCGGATGAAGCCGGCCGGAGTAAGCGAGACTAAGCCGGATTTCGGACCAGAGCAAACTCAGAATTTGACATCCCAGGAGCTGCATCCGAGGGAGATGTCGACCCCCATGCCGGGCTGCGTGGGGCGTGCGGCCGGACAGAGAACAGCGTGAGGCCCGGCCCTGGGATCTCACGACGGGGGGGGGGCAGGCGCCCGTCCTCGGCGGGGGGTGCGTCCGGAGGGCCCCCCCTCGGGGGGAGGGCCCCCCCTCGGGGGGAAAAAACACACAGCCCCCCCTCGGGGGGGGGGGGAGAGCACCCCGGGGCTTCCCCCCGCACCCGAGCGGCCAAACTTCAGGAGGGGAAAAAACACACAGACACAATGAATCGTCGATCCCCAAGAAAATATAGGAAAAGATGGGAATGGGGCGGGAAGACAGAACCCCCGAAAGTATGTGGAAATATGGGGAATCCTTTTGCTTGTGTGTATCTATTGGTGTGTGTCCTTGGGCCCCTTGAAAACTTCTCGGGCGGAGCTCGGGGATGCGGGCGGGAGCAGGCGCCTGCCAAGGGGGAGGCCACGGGGGAGAGAACGCGAGCACGAGCCCATCGGGGCAGGGGAAGAGCGCGAGCCGAGGCGGAGGCCCGGCCCCGCGGGGGGGGGAGGGCGCGCGGCGGGGCCCCGCGGGCAGCAGGAGGTGCGAGAGGGCACCACCGGGGGCACTCGCGGCACGGGCAAGGGCAGAGAGCACCCCGGCAGGAGCGAATGGGGCCCTGGGACGCACAGAGAAGTACACACGAAGGTTAAAAAAGAAAATGCCCCATATAGTTTCCCATCTGTTCTGGGTTTTTGCCTTCCCCCCCACACATACACGCATTTTTCCCATGGTTTCCCGTATGTTCTGGGGGGGCAAAGATTCATTGTGTCTGTGCGTGTTTGTCCCGCCTGAAAGAATGGGAGAAAGATGTTAGGAGGCAACTACTGGGAGGTTTTCGTCAGAAGGGTTACGGAGGATTCAGCCCCACTGGGGGGCTGTGACGCCAGAGTGGGCCTCGGACCAAGCGGGATCAAGCCGGATTAAGCGGGATTAAGCAGGATTATGCCAGATTTAGCGGGATTGAGCGGGATCTAGCCCGATTAAGCGGGATTTCGGACCAGGGCTAAATCTGAATTTGACCTCCCAGGATTTGCATCCGAAAAGATGGGAGGGGGAGGGAGACTAGAGAGCCCAGAACCGAAGCGACAAATCGGATCGGCGATCGACATGAATCGGATCGGCGGAGATCGGCAGCCGAGTCGGGAGAAGTGGAGTCGGCGGAGAATCGGCAGGCTCATGCGCGTCTGGTGACCTCGGAACCCACCAGTCGAACCCCAAGCCGAGCGGCATCGGAATCGGAAGCCGCCGGAGTCGAACCAAACAGCATCGGAGGAATCGACACGATGCCCTGGGGAGACGGGACAAGGAGACCGACAAAAACGGAGGGAGCGAGAGGGGCCGAGGCCCCCGACGGCGTGCTCTGCTCGCGACGCGCGCGGACCCCCCGCGGCCTCGACCGTCCGCCCCCCGGGGCCGGCTCCTCGCCCCCGCGGCCGTCGCCCGACGGCCCCCCGGGGGCCCGGCAAGGGCTCCCGTCGGGCCCCGGGCCCCAGGACGGCCCGGGAGGCTTCCAGGAGGGCACGAGAAGCCCCCAAAGGGACCCCGGGACGGTCAGAACAAGACGGCTTCGAGAACCGGCCAGGAGGAGATAGCTTCCGGGCCGGCCAGGCGGGCCCTCGGCGGCCTCCAGGACGGCGCCCGCCGCCCTCCAACAGGGTCGCGGGGCATGGCGACGATGGCCCCAAGCCAGCCCACGAGGGTCCCAAGACCGACGCAGGTGGCCCGAAGAGGCAACCAACAAGGCCACCAAGAGGCCCCTGGGATCCCTGGGCAGGCCCCGAAGGGGCCCCCAGGGCTCCACCTCCTCGTCGCACTTTTCCCGCTGATCCTCCCATCCCTGTTCCGTCCCACCTTCCTCCCCCGAGTGTCCCTCCGAGGATTTCGACAACGGCTGGGCGACCGCATAATTCAACGCCTTGACCTGACTGTGGCCCAACGCGTGGCCACAGAAATCTCCAGAAAGGCAGAAAGCGGCGGCGACCGTGGCGCGTACAACGATACAGCCGTGCGGCGCTACATTCACGCAGCAACATTTTGCGACGCACGCGGCGGTGGATACGCGCGGCAGCCCAAATTTCAACGATCACCCATCGCTCGCGCATGATGATGGAATGTTGGAACCCTGGTTGGCGAATGTGTAAGAGTTGTTTCCTCCCCCAGCCCACCGAGCACTCTTCCTCACCACAAGCGCCCCCAGGGCGCACACGCATACATACACAAACACGCACACGCACACACACACACACACACACACAAACACAAACACACACACACACACACACACGCACACACACACACATACACACACACACACACACACGCACACGCACACGCACACACACACACACACACACACACACACACACACATACACGCGCCTGGCGCCAATATCTGGCGCGTCGTTATACATCGAGACTGCCCGAAGGCCGCGATTGGCAAACCGA